CGCCCTGCTCGCACCGTGGCCGGACGGACGCCTGTGCCCCGGGCGAGACGCTGCCGAGGTCCAGGTCTGTGACGACCGAGACCGGGTCACCTTCTGTGCACTGCGGGGCCGGACCCCCGGACCCAGCTGTCCGGGCCCTGGCACAGCACCCCTCGAGCTTCAGCCTTCGCCCCGACACAGCCCCGCCTGTCCCCAGCGCCCTGGCCAGGGGAAACGCTGCTGCGCGTGAGCCCGGGCGTCCCCGCGCGTCTGCCCAGCGCGAGCTCGTGGCTGCAGGACTCAGGCGAGGGGCGTCCGAGGGGCCCCGTGGCACGTTGGGCCTTCGCTCGGATGCTCCGTCACCCCGCCGCGCTCGGCGCCGTCCGGCCCACCGGTGCGTGCCGGGGCCGTGGGCACCCCCAGCCTGGGCGCCTCGGGTCAGCGCCGGGTCCCCCCTCCCGCTTTACTGGGGGCTGGCTACTTCCGGAAGCCGAGCTGCCCCCCAGCTGTGCCACCCGCTGACGGGGGCGGCTCGTCCCACGCCACCCTCCCGCCGGCTGCAGTCGCCCTGCGCGCCCCGGAGGCTGCAGTCACACAGGCGTACCCCAGCGCCCGCCCGCTGTTGCCGCAGCCCCCACAAAGCAGTTACTTGGCCGTTTCCCGGCTGTCAGCGGGAGCGCCCACTGACCGGCCGGCCCTGCCGTCCCCCGCCGCTGCAGCGCTGGTCCGGGGCAGGCAGCAAGCCCCGCCCCCCGGGTCCCCAGCTGTGTTCCCTGGGTGCGCGAGTCCAGGCTGTCTCTGGGCCCCGAGAGGCGCGACCCCCCGCCCCGGCCTGGGGCAGACGGGCTGGCTCCGAGCGCTCTGTGCCGTCTGCCCCCGCGCCGAGCCGGGGCCGCAGCCCTCCTCGCCCCCGACCCTCCAGCCCCGTCAGAGGCCTCGGGCTCCGACTCCCAGACCTCTCCCGGCCGCATGCAGGGGGTCGCCGACTGCTCGGCCGTAACCTTCCCGCCCGGAGCCCGGTGCGTCTCGGTTTCAGGCGCGGCCCCGGCGGCTCGGCTCTCCGACCCGTCCCCCCTGCGGGGTCTCCCGCTCTGGGCCTTGTGTGCCGTCTTGAGGACGGCTGAGGCCTTCTCGGAGGTGCCGGTGACCGGGGCCCCTCGGCGGCCAGGCAGGTCTGTGTCGGCTGGCGGCGGGTCCCGGCCGCAGCTGCTGTGACCTGCCGTGTGCGCTTGCCGTTCAGAGGCCGCCCCACGTGTCACCCCGAACACTGGCAAAACTAAGACCGACGGGCGCGGAGCCGCCGCGGAAAGCCACCCCGCCCGGTCCCGTGGCTGGGGGCCCCGCTCGCCCGCGTCCCTGCCCCCTCCCCCCACGCCGCTCGGTGAGCGACCCCGTGACCCTGGCCGGCTCCCACCCTCCCAGCTCCGACCCGAAACCCGCCCGCCCCTCTCCAGAGCCCCAGGGAGCCCCCCGTGCTGCCGGGGCCGGGGTGGCTGTCAGTGCCCGTGGCTTGGCCGCGGGCAGCTGCCTCCCTCCACCTTCGCGTTTCACACCCAGCCACCCTGCCGCCTCCGAGCAGCGCCGGCCGGGACGCGGCCGGGGCCCGTCCTCCAGCAGAGGTGAGGTGCGGGCCGCGGACGCCCCGTGGCGGGGGTGCCGTGACGGGCCACGGCCTGCAGCACGGAGCCCGCACTGTGGGGAGAGGAGCAGCAGCCTTCTGGGGCGACTTCCGCAGGGTGATTTTGAAGAGATTTACATAATTAGGAAGTGTTTGGATTTGAATTACTGTTAAGTACATAGAAAATTAAACCAATAAACAACAGAAAATTATTTCACTCCAGGGAAAACATTCTGTACAGGGAAGACAAAGTAATCACAGTGTGCTGTATGGGTTAGCTACGAGCAGACACCCCACGGCCGTGTGAACCCCGGACGCTGGCCTGCTTAGAGCTGTGCCCGGGCTCCAGGCGGAGGGCGGGCGGCAGGGCCGGGCAGCGGGCTGGTGGTGGGCAAGGGGCCGGGCGCGCCTTCTCAGTGGGGGTGCCTCGACCTTCTGGGGGACACCGGGGTGTCCGGAAGCAGTCTCGTCAGTCACACTGTGGGGAGGGACGCTGCGGCGTGGCTGGGAAACTCTCCAACGCGCGCCACTGCGAAGACCCGCTGGCCAGCCCCGGCGGATGCCCACGCCCGCGGGGCCGCGTCAGCGAGCACCTGGGCACGAGCGCTGTGCTGTGAGCCACGTGGGCTCTGAGCAGCCGCTGTGAAGAAAGCAGACTGCCCCCCGGGTGGCGCAGGCGTGGGGTCTCAGTGCGGCCCCCAGGGTGCGGCAGACCTCTCCTGTCTCTCCGCTGCTCCCCCTCTCTCCGGGGAGCCCTCTCACCCCCACCAAGCCTCCGCCCTCCGCCCCGCTTCTTGTACACACGGAAGTGTGGGAAGGAATCCCTGTTCTGCACAGAATGTCTTCTGACTGGCTGGAGCAGGACAAAACTGTTCCAAACAACAAAACAAGAAGTCGCTGCGCCCGCCACGTAGGGCCGCGGCGGCCGCTCCCACACCGGGCTGCTGCCCGTGGCCTGACCTGTGGCGGTGACCGTGCCAGAGGCGCACAGCGCCCCCGGCGGCAGCCAACGTGCAGGCCTGGCATTCTGGGGGGCGCGGGCACCCCTGCAGCTGCCAACCCGAGCATCTGAGCAGTGGGCATCGCACCCACTCGCCGCCAGCTCCAGGCGCCGCACAGCAGCCCGGAGCAGCTGCTTTGCGGACAGTAGCCGCTTCTGAAGTCCCCCGGCCGGTGAGGCCAAGTTTTCCGTGTCTCAAGGTCAGGAAGCCTAAGGCCACCGCGCTGAAGGCAGGAGGCGGCCACAGGGCCGGCAGCGGGCACCGGGCGCTGGGACCTTCTGCGTCTCCCGAGGGGCTTCCTCAGGGGCACGGGGCCGGCCGGCGTCTGACCACGGGGAGCTCGGGAGACACTGCTCCCCCGCTGGCCTGGGGTCATGCCGGCATCTAGCAGCGTGGGGGTGGCGGCGGGAACCCCGCTAGCAGGGGTTCACCGAGCCAAGTGCGCGGGGCCTTGGGGGGCTCAGAGGTCTGGGCGCCCTCCCGGTGGTGAGAGCGGTCACGAACGAGGTGATGGACTTGGCCAGGCTGCATGTGCCCCAAAGAGGTGGCCAAACGCCGGTCAGCGAGCCCGGACTCGTCGGCCTGGGAATGGCCGTCTGGACGGCGGGGGCAGCGGGGACCTCGGCCCTGTGGGACCCGGCCAGAGGCTGGCCTGCTGGTCAGAGACCCCCGTGGTCACTGCAGGGGCGCCAGGCGTGAGACCCTGAGGAGCGGCCCAGACCACGGCGTCCCCCACGCGCGCCCGGTCACACGGTGGGCGCTGCCACCTCGCCCCGGCCGCCTCCTGACCGCCCGTCCCCCGCAGGTCAACGACGAGAACGTGGTGAAGGTCGGCCACCGGCAGGTGGTGAACATGATCCGCCAGGGCGGGAACCACCTCGTGCTGAAGGTGGTCACAGTGGCCAGGAGCCTCGACCCCGACGACACGGCCAGGAAGAAAGGTGCGCGGGGGCGGGCGCCGCTCTCGGGGCTCCGGCGCGGCCCCGGGTCAGCCCCCACCGTGGGGGCGTGGGGGTGCTCTGTGGCTGCGCGGGCGCCTCGGCTGGGGCCGTGCCGGCTCTAGGGCCCCGCCGGGCACACTCTGGCTGCTGGCCCGCAGCCCGTGCCCATGGGGGACGAGGTCCAGGGCGTGGAGCCGCCCCCGTGACTCAGGCTGACGCGCCTCCTGAGGGGGTCACTGGAGACACTGGGGCAGGCCCCCCAGTGTGTGCCTAGCCCGGAGCCCCGCCCCCCCGGCGGGCAGCGGGCCAGGCAGGCCACGGAGAGGGCCGTGAACCTGGAGGCTCGGCCCTGGGCGGCAGGCAGCGGGGAGCCCTCCCCTAAATCGGGACAGAAAGCCTCTTGGGGAGAGCACACGTGCCAGGGAGAGGCCCCGCCCAGCCGAGGAACCGCGCAGGCCCCCGGCCCCCAGGAGGCCCCCAGGGCTAGCCTCAGGCAGGCAGCCTCTGGTGCCTGCTCTGGTGCCTCCCGCGGGGCACCCAGGCCTGGGCCCCACAGACGAGTGGGCCGGCACCCCGAGTCTCAGGCGGGGCTGAGGGCAGAGGGGCGGCAGGTCCCCGGAGGACCTGTCCTGGCTCTGGCCCAGCGCAGCCACGTGACTGGCCAGGAGACCGCCCCAGGCCCTGGGGGCAGAGGGTGGCAGGCAGCCGGCCCGGTCTCAGCCTCCCGCCCTGCCTGCCCCCAGCTCCCCCACCTCCGAAGCGGGCGCCGACCACGGCCCTCACCCTGAGATCCAAGTCCATGACCTCGGAGCTGGAGGAGCTCGGTAAGGCTCGCCTGGCCGGCCCCCGCCTGTGTGCTGGGGCTCCGGGTGTCCCCACGGGACCCCTCGGCCTTGGGGAGGGGTGCCAGTGGCTTCTGCAGTCAGTTCATCTAACATTGCTTTGTTTTGAATTTTTGGGCCTCTCACTAGTGGACAAAGGTAAGCTGCCCCATGGTGTCCTGCAAACAGCTTCCTGCTGTTTAGGGCACCCCACAAGCTGGCCTGACCAGCCCTCACACACAGCTCAGTCCAGGGAGAGTGTGGCCGGGGGGGGTTGCGGGGGGCCTCACACAGGGTCCCCAACAAGCAGCCAGGCCTGTGGCGTGGGGTGGCCAGACAACCCAGGCTCTGGAGGAGGTGCGGGTGCAAGGCTGGCTGGAACGCTGGCTCGGCTGAGTGCAGGGTGAGGGGAGCCCCTAAGACTGATCCCAGGGCCCCACCCCCACCACCCTGGTTGGGATGCCAGGGCCGCCTTGGGCCAGGCCACGTCACGGTGGCCACAGCCCCAGGGGGACACAGCAGGCGGGTACCCGCTATGACAGCGCTGCCCCCCCCAGTCCCGCACACGGGGCCCCTGAGCCCCTGCCGGGCCCTCACCCGGGATGCGTGGGGGAGCAGGCTTTCAGGTGGCCAGCGGGAGGCAGCGGTCGGCCCCAGGAGCGGCTGCCCCCACCCGCTCCCGTCTGGCCCGAGATCTCGGCGCAGGCGGGCGGGCGAGGCCCCGTGGCCCGGGTGCCGCCCTGCGGGACTCACAGCGCCCTTTCTGTTCCAAGCCTCCGTCCGGAAGAAGAAGGGTAAGGGGCCAGCGTGCTCGTCCCCAGCCCCGCACGCCCGCGGGCGGGCCCCTCTGTGGCGTCAGCGTCTGAGTGCGCGTGGCTTGTCTCGTGTCCCCGCACGGCCACGGCCGTCCCCTCGCTGTCCCGTCCGCTTCGCTTCCCGTCCGTCCTCCCTCCCAACACGTGCTGCACCGTCCTGCGCTGTGTCTGCGTTGTCCAGGCCGTGCAGCCCTCCTGGAGGCCGGCTCTGCCCCTGGGCTGCGCGGCAGGTGGGGTGCAGGCCGTGGGCCCCCTTCGTGCAGGCGGCCCCCCTGGGCTGGTGTGGGAAGCCTGCTGCGGCAAGCCCCTGGCCCCCGCGGCGAGGCCAGCTGTCCCTCAGGCCGCACCCCACAGGCCCCTCGGGCCGAGGGGCTCGCCGGGAGCACAGGGCGCCTGCTTCTCCTCCCCAGTGCCCCCACGGCTTTCTTGGGAACCGCGTGGCTCGCCCACCCCAGCCGCTGGAAGCCCCTCGGGGGCCTGCTGGGGTGGCAGCCCTCGGAGCCTCCCGCCTTGGCCAGAGCGCCGCTGGCCAGGGAAGCCCCCGGCTTACACCCCTGCCCGGAGCTGGGGGCCCCCTCCCTCCACAGGCTGCCCAGCAGCTGCAGCTGGGGCGGGGAGTGGGCAGCTAGAGGCCAGGCCACTCAGTGTCCACCAGGCAGCGGTCTCGGGCGTGGAGAGCCCCTCCTCGGACCGGCAGGCCGAGCTGCCCCCCTGCCCGTCACACAGGCTGGGTGTCTGTGGGCTCCAGCCTGGTGGGGAGCAGGGGCCAAGCACAGGCCACGCCGTGGCCCAGCCCTGCTGGCCTATTCCTGAGGCCCCGGGATGGCAGGTCTTGTTTGTGTGGGGGCCAGAGGCCCTTAGAACCCTGCACAGCTGGAACGTGGGGAGGAAGGAAGCCTGAGGTGCCCACCAGGGAGGCGGATACGAGGGCACGGGCCTGGAACTGGCAGGGAGGGAGGCTTGGAAGTGCCCCGCAAGCCTCCGGAATCTGCCTCCAGCTGCAAGCGGAAAACTCCTGGTGCTGGGGGCCCCCCGCCCCAGCTGGGGCCCCCAAGGCTGCCCCCCTCATCTCTGAGACCCACCACGGAAGCCTGATGCTTCCTGGGACGCCTCGTCCCAACGTGGTGCCGGACTCCAGGGTGACGGTGCCCCAGTGGACCCTGCTAGCCCTGGACACTGCAGGCCCCAGCTCTGCCCGGCAGCGTGGGAGGCGCGACTCCTCGGGGCCCGCAGCCGCCGGCAGGGCCGGCACGTGGTGGGAGAAGCTGCCCCGGTGGGAGCCCGCAGCAGGCCCGCCGCACCCCTCCTCCCTGATGCCGCGTGCGTGGGGAGGGTCCCTTCGGCCCTCAACAGAGCAGCATGGCCAGTGCCACCAGCTCGAGGTCACGAGGAGGGAACAGAGTCAGAGCGCGGCAGGTTCCTGGTCCCCTCAGAAAGCTGCAGAGTCCGGGCCCCACGGACACCGCCGGAGCCACCCGACACTTCATCCAGGGGCGGCTGGGGCCCACTGCCGGGCTGGGTCGGGGCCACCGCCTAGGCCACCCGCCAGGGGCCGGGGCTCAGCGGCCTGCTCTCGCCCCGCCTGAGGTCACGCAACCTGCATGGCCAGCACAGACTTGCATCCAAGCCCACCTCTGGCCGAGAGTCGGTCACAGGCTGAGCACCGCAGTGGCAGGCTGAGCAAGCCTGGCCCGGTGGCCCCTGTGGTGTGCTGGGCGCCCCAGGGACACGGCCCGCTGCCAAGGCCACTGAAGACCTGGCGGTTCTGGGCCCGCTGTGCCTGGCCTGCCGCTGCCCTGAACGCCCGGGGCCCACCCCCGGGACAGACGTGAGTCTGGCTTTGAGCTAAGCAGATGACCCTCGTCCCGAGACCGTGGGGAGTCCAGCTGCGGCCCCTACGGCCCCGCGTCCCACGGAGACCTCTGCACCCGGGCTGAGCAGCAGGGTCGCGGGCCGGGGCACCTGGGTCCCCTCTGCTCCCTCCCAGTGGCACCAAGTACCCTCACTGGGAAGGAGCCCGCTCCTGTGCCCGGGTCCAGGCCATTCGCGGCAGCCAGCCTGGGCCACCAGCATTTCACCCCCAGGCTGCCCCGGGGTGCGACTGCACAGCGGCCTGACTGCCCTGGGGCCACCTTAAGTGCCCACTGCCCAGCAGGAACTCCAGGCTGGGCCACCCTAGCGTGACCCTCACTGCTCCTCCTGCAGCCAAGCTCTCCGCGGGATGTGCAGAGGGAGGGTCTGCTCGGGGCTTCACACCGAAGCAGCAGCTGGACGTGGGCGTCTCTGGACGGCAGGGGAGAGGCTGCCATGCTGAGGGGGCGCTGGGCTCCTGGCACGCCCCATGCACGGCGCATCCTGGCACAGCTCAGGCCAGGCCTGAGAGACCGCTGGTGCACGGCCCTGGGACTGGGAGGAGACCCCAGCTCCACGCCACCAGGAGCCACTGGGCTGGAGCAAAGCCGCCCAGGCCCCCAGGGCTCGTGGGCTCCAGTCCCCGCAGGCCCCCCTCGCCTGGAAGGGCCCGGCCCACCTCCATTTCCAGCTCGTGCGGGCCCGACAGCGCCTGTGTGCCAGGCCCTTGTGAGGAGGGGTGCCGTCTGGGGATCCCTGTCCAGCACACCCACACCTTCCCTGCAGGCCCGCCTAAGGGGCTCCGGGGATGCCCCAGTGGGGCGGGGGCCACCAGGGTGTCCCAGGGGCCAGCGTGGGGCACCCATTCAGCCCAAGCCCCAGCTGCTCCCACACTTAGCCCCGGGCATGGGCAGGGCCCCAGAGGCCCAGGGCCTGGTCTGCAGCTCAGGCTTCGGGAGAACTGCCGTCCAGAACACAGTGAGGTGTGCAGAAGGCCTCAAGTGTAGGGCGTGACCTGCGCCCCTGTGGGGCGAGGGGCCCGGAGAGGTGGCCCCGGGACCCCCTCCACGTGCGAGTGTGCCTCGCTGGCGGGTCGCAGGGACACGGCGATGCCATCCCGCCGTGCAGGCCAGCCCCGTGCCTGCCAGGCGCCCCACGGGGGCTGGGGCGTACCCAGCACGCACCCCTCTGCTTTTTAAAATTAACAAGCTGGTCGCTAAGGCCCGCTAGCAACCAGCTCTCTGCTTCCTTCTCCACAGACGCGAGGCTCTCCTGCCCGGGCTGGGGGCCGGCCGGCTCCTCGCCACGGCTGCCCTGAGTGAAGGAGGCGCCGCGCCCCGTGGGCGTGCTGTGGGCCTCCCGGCCCGGTGCCCACCCAGGGCTGCGGCATGGAGGCCACGTGCCCTTGCGTGCAAGGTGGCGACAGACACAGGCACCCTGCCCGGTGCGGCCGCGCCCAGGGCCAAGGCCGGAGGCTGAAGGGATGGCCCCGACCCCGTGCCTGACGCCATTCCTGTCCCCGTCACGTTGCAGAGAAGCCTGACGAGCTGGTGCCCATCACCAAGCCGCCCCGTGCCGCCGAGAGCGTGGCCGTGGAGCCCAGGGTGGCCACCATCCGGCAGCGGCCCACCAGCCGGTGCTTCCCGCCCCTCTCGGACGTGAACGTGAGTGCCCTGCCCAGGGACGGGGACTGCGGGCGGGGGGCGCCACGGGACCCACAAGACGGGTCCTGGCCCAGCGCAGGCCCACGGCCCTCGGCCCGCCGGGCGGCGGCGTCCCCGCCAACTGAGGCCGCCGCAGCTGTCTCCGCCCACAGAAGGGCCGCCGTCTGCCACCCTCCCGAGCGGGGTCCTGCACGCTGGGGCCACAAACGGAGACCACCCCCAGGGCGCGGGGCTCCCGGCGCGGAGAGGCAGGGCGCCCCCCGCTGCCTCCTGCTGCCCCAGCCCCGCACCGCCCGGCCGGCCCACGCCGTTTCCTAGGGCCTCTCAGGCTCCACTTCCGAGCATCGCCCTTGTCTTAAATGACACCCACAAACAGTCAGTGGGGGTGTCCGGTGTTCCGAGGTGCTCCCATGGAATCTGGTGACCTCCTCCTGGGCCCCGCCTGCCCCGGGCTACAGAGGAGCAGGTGCAGAGCGCGAGGTCAGAGAGACCCAGGGACCTCGCCGAGCAGGGCCAGTCGCCCGCCGAGGGCCGGCACGCCCAGAGGCCCCACCCCCCCGGCACACACTGGGTCGTGCTGTCTGTTTTCCAGAGTAAAACAGGCCCCTGCCCAAAGCCGTGAGCCCCACCACGCTCCCCACATCTGTCCCAGCCCCCGACCTAGTCACCC